GCGCTAGACCAGTTTTGAGACTTATTTTGCATAAGCGATTTTTTTAATGGACGTAAAATTGTGACAGGGCATCTAATACGTGCTTCGAGAAAATTATAGAGAATTTAAGGGATATAAAGGATATATATAAGATGATATACTTACGACCAGGCCTGTAAATATGAAGTTTTATTATTGTTTTTTAACTTCTCTTAGGGTAAGTTATTGTAAACGTCCAAAGTTTTTAAGGTTTCTGAACATTTTGGCATACCTCAGAAAAAATGGATGTGTGTATGTGTATGTATGTATGGATACAATTTTTCGTCCACGTTTTCGGGCGCACGGATCAACCGATTTGAATGTTTCAAAAAACATTCGATTCCTATTGATAGGGAGATGTGCTCATTAGTTTTCGGCGAAGGCAGGTCCAGCCGTTTCGGAATTACGAAGCAAAGAATGCAGAAAATAGAAATCGAGATTTTGAGAGATCGGAGCATCCGATTTGAATGATCTAAAAAACATTCAATTAGTAATAATTTGGAGAAGTGGTTATTAGTTTTTGGCAAAGGCATGTCCAGCGGTTTTGGAGATACAGAGCAAAATGTGCAAAAAATGGCAGTTTTTGAGAGAACTAAGCGTCCGATTTAAATAATTCAAAGAAATTTCTGCTTGTTTTAACAAAATCATTGCTTTTGGAGAAAAAATTTTTTTTGTTTTAATTTTTTTTTCAAAAAATATTTTTTTTATATATCGAAAATAACTCAGATTTTAATTGTAATTGTGACTTAAGGTCTAATATATTTTAAACAAATATTTTCAACTTTGCAATTCAGTTTATATAATTCTTATGAATATTAGACAATGTTACAGTATTTATTTATAATAATCTATTTGAAAACATTTAATATTCCTCGAACTTTTCGTTACGGTACGGGAAGTTCCAGCAATTTGCCTTAAGGCACGATGCCATACACAACTAGTTAATATTTGATTCATAAGTCCTATTTTTAAAATAATGTATGGTTATTAAATTGTAATAAGCGTTTGAATAAATAATATTATTTACATTTATACTTTTAATAAAAGTCAATACCTAATTCACTTTCCTTATTAAATAATTCTCTTCAATAATTACTAAAAATAATAATCTGTAATTGTCTTTAATTTTATTCATAAAGTTTGATTTGTTCTTATGGGATTGTTATCAAAATTGTTGTGTAATAATATATATATATATATATATATATATATATATATATATATATATATAATCAATGAATCCCTTGCCTAATTTATTTATCAAAAACCAGTGTAAAGTTCGTTACTCACCCTTATTTCGGGTCACAAAAAAAATGAAACCCTAACCGAATTTTTGTCCAACCCGAGAAGGGATCAAGGGTGTGTCTTAACATAGAACTACCCTTAAAATTTTAAAGCGCAGTTATAAAAACTGATACTCACATACATAGTAAAATAATATATACACATTTATATATACATATATATATATATATATATATATATATATTTATATATTTATATATTTATATATTTATGTGTGTGTTTGTATTTATATTAAAAAAGTGCTTTTTGAAATGTTTTATTTGAAAACAAATTGTATATATATATTTATTTATATACATTTATGTGGTAATATTATTTTATATAAAAATAAATTTGCATTGCATATATTTCATTTATTTTGTTTTACAAAAAAGCAAAACACCTGAGCGTTTTTTATAAAACGGTTAACCCATTGTATAACGAACTCTCCCAGACAATCGAGCTGAAGAACGCACGTTGCACATTTTTATAATTCATTTAATTTTTATTTTTATCATCACGAGCTTCTTCTACATTTGTACGATTAGAATCTGATATAAAAAAAACTTTTGTACGCTTTTGCTCAAGACACTGAGGTTCATTTTCAATTAACTTATCGAAGAAGAAGTTTGTTTTCGCAGGAAATCCGATTTTAAGTTTCTTCTAAATGCTAATTTTGTTTTCTCGACGTTACATTTACACATTTTTGTAATTTTGAAGCGTTTGAGACCCAATTTAGAATAAACACGGTACTCTGAAAGATCTCATTTGGATAATTATATACTCATTGGTATTTATGAAATATTTTCTAGATTATATTACTTTTTATTTATGTTATTCAAATTCAGAACCTAAATTTGGTATCGATCAAAGGGACATAATGTCAAATAACATTTTCCCAGTTATAATTTCCCAGAATTTATCGAAGAATAGATAGTAATATATGTAGGTCCGTGGTTAAAAAAGTCCACCACCGATGTGTCAAAAACCAATTAAGTTAAGCATTGTTTAGCAACAATATTTGAAAGTAGAGGGAAAAAGATGTATAACCTTGATTCTTATGACTTTGCTTTGGAAGTTAAACGACAATCTTTGAAAATTCATAATAAAAGTATTTTCTTCCGGTGATAGTTTTTTAGCATTAGTTAAAAATGTAATTATTTTGTAAAATACCTTTAAAATTAAAATAAGACATTAAACCTGTTTGCCACTTGGCCGTTCCAAGTTACCCCGTCTAAGGGGTAAAAAGCTCTAGATAACAAATTTTTGAAAGACATCAAAAAAGCACATTTCTACAAAGAATGAAGTAGCTGGCAGTTTTACTGAACGTAGTCAGATAATTGTTCGTTTTAAATGTGTTATTTGTTGTGAGATAATTGTTATGGTTTTCACAATATTGTTTATATTTGCTCAAAGCCAAATTGGACCTGTGTGCCTCGCCCTGCCTTACATATATACTTTTTATTAAATTTACTTTAATTCATCGAATGTTATTTGAAACCTTTCAAAAAGCAGGTTATAGAAGAAATACTTAATTCATTTTTTATGTCTCCTCGCAGAAATTTGAAAATTTTGTATAAGCTCAGTAGTATTATTTACAATTATACACAAAATCCAGAATCCAAAAAGAATCTGAAAAACTTGAAACATAATCAATAAGTCGAAAGACCAAAAAAGACTTGGATTGGATTATACCATGTTTTCTATAGGAAGTGTATAAAACTTCCAGACAAAATATAGACAAACTAATGGGGTTTATTGTTTTTATAATACCTCATTGTATATAGCATTCAAACAACACATCCTTATACAATTGAAGTATTAATATTTTTGATTCTCTAGAAATTGTTTAGAATATACCTTACTTAGCAAAACGTTTGCCGGGTCAGCTAGTATATATATATATATATATATATATATATATATATGTATATATATGTATATATATAGGAAATATATATTTCTAAATATTTTCGTATAGACCACGGTTGTTTTCCGAACTTGCAAAAACTTTAAGCTCGCCATCCTCGCCGACTCCAGGTCTGGCGCCGAGCGTCTGCGTCTATATGCGTTTTATATCCTGTCTCCTTTACGATTTTCGGCTTTTTCTTCCGAAGAATAAGAACGAGAACGAAAATACAGAAAACGAACGAAACAAAAAGCTTTGTAAGAAAATAAAGTCCATCTCGTAGAGATGTTCATAACCCATGACCAACAATACATCGAAGAAAAATATATATCGAAGTCATCAGATTCGATGTTTAAAATTTGGAATTTTCACATTAAATTCTGTTATTGTAGGTAAATAAAAATCCTTTCATAAACTACATCCAAATGATGATATATGAATAAAAACATGCCAAAGACATGGGATAAGACAAAAACAAAATAATGATCTAAGATGAGAACTAAGAAATTTATTTGATGTAATTGTAATAAGTTCAATAATACAACTTGGAATTGAAGGATTTATAAATACATAGTATAGTATAGTTGTAGTATAGTTTTAATAATATAATTATTAAAAAATACCGTAACAAGGAACTTGTCAAGAAAAGCTTTCATTCTATTCGCTTTATAATTAGTAAAATAATATTTGGAAACATTTCAAGGAAGAGATGGTCAAGGAATACTCAAAAATATTAAAGTATGTATAAATCGCACAACAATGATACCAGCATAGTTGATGAAAAACAAATTAAAAAAATACACAGAAAAAATATTTATTTTCCAAAATACAAGAGGTTTCCAAAATTTATAATAAATCTATATTATAAAAATAAATCGCAAAATGTGTTGGTAAGCGCATAACTTATGAACGCCTGGACCAATTTGGCCAATTCTTTTTTTAAAATGTTCTTTGAAGTCCAAGGATGGTTCTTACGGCGAAAAAATCGAATAATTGCCGAGAAAACCCTAAAAACAGTCCATTTCTTTTTCACATACAAACGCGTTTTGGGTCTGAAATTTTTTACTGTGCTCCCATTTGCATGAAATTTTGAAATTAGGTTTATCTTACTCCCAAGTTTAAAAGTGAAAATAATTTAGACTCCTTTGCCATTTCCCGGGGGGATGACTTTCCTCTCAGTGGTGTAATTCCATTTTTTTTCAAAATAACGTCGGATATCGATAAAAGAACTAATTATAAGAAAAAAATGTTTTATAATGTTTTTCAAAAAAGCAAATCTCATCATTTTATTTAATGCAGTTGTACATTTAAGATCCATATGGGTGGATGTATATAGGTATAGACTGTAGTGTAAAAAAACATAATAATTTTTAACTAATTGGCAAATATCAGTATAGGTTATTAAAAAAAATGGAACTTTTGAATTGTAAACATAAGTATAGGACAACGTCTGTCGGGTAATCTAGTTGTATATAATTATGTCGAAGTTTTATTTACTGCCCAGCACTACGATGACCGATTTTTTATCCTTTATATTTAGTTCTTATCCCATTCATCTGACTCTCAAACAATATCATCCCCCTGATCGTCAACCCTTGGCGCCATCTCTTTCCCTGACCTGCCCAACATCGATCGGCTTGAGTGGCGACGGATATATGAAAACCGTTTCAGAAATTATATGTTTAAAATATTCGAATCTACCATTTTGGCTGAAATGTTTCAATTTTATATTATAATTTTATTAAATTTGGTTAAATATTTTATATAAACGTTTGTTTATTTTTTGCAGCTATTTTAACTTCAATACCAAACAACGAAGCAGAGTTGCAATTGTACCGAGTCATGCAAAGGGCTAGCTTACTAGCCTACTATGACACGCTTCTGGAAATGGGTATGTAATAATCTATGTTTTTTGATTATATTTTTCAATTAAATATTAATTATTTATCTTTTTCCCAGGTGGGGATGATTTACAACAGCTGTGTGATGCGGGGGAAGAAGAATTTTTAGAAATTATGGCTTTAGTTGGTATGGCCAGTAAGCCTTTGCATGTTAGAAGATTACAAAAGGCGCTTCATGAGTGGGTTCAAAATCCTGAACTTTTTCGAAGACCTCTTACCGCCAGTGAGTTGCTCGCACCTACCAGCAGCAATCGATCACATATCGTCACAGGTAGTAATAAAACTATTTACTTAATATGCTCAATTTATACATTTTATTATAATACATTTCATTATGTTAGGTAATATTACACCAGTGACAACGCCGCCGATTGCGCAGCATGCTTTGACGCCGGAAAATTTAAGAGGAGCAGCCGATAGCCCGGACAGTGCCGGTACCAGGTACCAGGCTCTATCTCCAGGTTTGTAGCACAAAATATAATTGATCCCTCACTTCATGGCCAAATGATATTGAAAATTATTCAGCAGGTATTGCTGCCCATGATATCGTATCTTCGGCATCATCTTCATCACCAGCAACCATAAGTAGCTGCCAATTAGCATCAGGAGCATTGTTGACCTCACTGGTAATGACTCGTCTGGCTTCAGCGGCAGAGAGCTTAGCTAGACATTTACCGCCCTTAGAACCGAGACCGCCGAACAACAAGAAGCGTGTTTGTAGGGAACTCGAACGCATCATGGATATGCCAGACGGTAATATTAGTAGTTATATATATATATATATATATATATATACAGGGCCGGTCCTGGGGTCCTTAGCGCCCGCATGCAACTTTTTTTCTAGCGCCCCCCCCCCCCATTAATTTTTCCTGCTTTACCAGTTTATCATTTAAATTATATAAATATTTACATATTTTTTAAAAATTAATTTTTAATTATTCTGGATTTAGTGCGTAAAAATTAGATATAATCTAAAAGCGTATAAAATACATTGATTTTAAATTTATTTAGAAGATCGAGGCGATCCGCGGCTTGATTACAATCAAATATTTTTAAATTTTCAATTATTTTCAACGTATGTGCAATATTAATACTTGGGTTTTAAAACATGTTTCTTATTTATTATGCGATTTATTCTATTGAGCAAATCATGATAAGAGAGCTAAAAAAACTAGAACTCATAATACTCGTATTTCATGTTGGATTATTTAAATTTTATTTTAATTTAATTTTTTATCATTTACAATATCTAAAATTGCGTTGTAAACTTCTCCTTATTGATATAGTAGGAGCCGAATTGTATTTATCCTTGCTTTCTCGACATATTCAGAGTATCAGTTTGTTGTTTTAAAGGTAAATTTTTAACGCATTTTAAAAGTATTGTCCAAAAATCAGTAGAAAATGCAAAGATTTTTCACATTTTTTGAACTATATTGAAAAAAATAACTAATTATATTTGATATGTATTATTTCTGCATAGTTAAATTATTAAATTTGGAGTATAGACACCACTCAATATAAAAAAAGGCTCAAGATTTTCGTTTCACAGTAAATTTTGCTTCCATTTTTCATATTTGTTTCATTTCCATAACCCTAACCACGCATGTCTTCAACATTCAATTCAGTTCATCAGAAGCAAAACATTTGCAACACAAACAAAAGTTACAATTCAATTTCTCGGAATAAACATGTCATTTTCTAAGCACTGGCTCTCTATTTTTCATTTTCCCGATTATAATTTGTTCATATTTTTAATAAGTTCCGTTTCAACTAAATCAGCTCGCAATTTTTCATCAATAATGCCAAATAATTCATTTAATCTTTCGCAGGTCTGCGCTTATGGGATTGAACACTAGATAATTTCTTTTTTGATTCCACATTAACTTCGAACAAAGCAAAAATAGAATAAGTAGATTAATCAATAAACAGAGCTGTTATTTACTATTTTGCAGAGTTATTAATTGATTAATTGTTTCTACAGATCACATTGCAAAATAAATATGCTCTTTAATTGTGTCTCCGTGTGCCCCTTCTTAAGTTAGATTGTTTATTATAATTTATAAAGTATAGTAGATATTATATAAATAATAAAAATATAAATAATGAATTATAAATTTAATTTTCAAAACTCGTTTTGGCGCCCCCTAAGGCATGCGCCCGCATTTTTTGCATGTATTGCATGCAAGGCAGGACCGGCCCTGTATATATATATATATATATATATATATATATATATATATATATATATATATATAGAGATAGGGAGAGAGAGATTTACTTTAGTTGTGTAATAATAAATTTTAATGTTTAGATGACCCGCTAAAAATGCAGCTTGTCCGCCAATACGCGGCGATCTACGGTCGTTTTGATTGCAAACGCCGACCAGAGAGACCTCTGACTCTGCACGAAGCTTGCGTCAATGAGGCTGCTGCACAATTATGCAGGAGGGCACCAGCTTTATTGACGAGGAGAGATGAACTGTTTCCTTTAGCCAGAAAATTGGTGAGGGATGCAAATGTCGGAGTTGGTTTGGTGGTATGAACGCAGGAGGCCAAACGCAGGGGCAAGGAGTTGGCGCGTTAGCCGGAATGAAGTAAGACGATAAAAGACTTATATCTAGCAATTTATCCAATTCAAAATTTATAATAATATTTATTATTTTCAGGCGTTCAGAATCTCCTTTAGATCAACAGCAAACAACCACGATGCGAGCATGCGTTCGCCTTCGGCTAAACGACCTCGATCAAATAGCGATTTGATGTCGCCTGGGTCGCCTGCCATGTCACCAGGCCGGCACCAACCGCCCGCCCGTAACCTCCTGCAGGCAGGTCAGCCCCGCCCGCCGCGAGAAATCGAACTGCGAGAATGACACTAACAAACGATAGTCTAATGGATTTGTAAAAGTCCTAATTAATATGCATGATTTTCTATTATTTTAATCATTTAACATTTTTTTCTAATTTGCAGCATTTTAGATAATAACATATTTAATATATTTAATCTTTTTAATAGCTTGGGAGGACTATAAAGCACGCAAGTAGCTGAACACATGCTTTCTTCATGCTTATTGCTAAGTAGAGATCATTATAAATTTATTTTCATATTAAAATGTATTTAACTTGATGTTCCGCGTATTTCAAAATAAAAGCTGTAATTATGAATGTAAATATCGTTTCATAAAAGGCGCGCATTTATTTTGAAGGATTGTTAAATAAAATTTGTAGATATTTTCAATTTTTCTGAATATGCCAATAATTTATATGCTACATATTAATATTCTAATCATAGCATTAAATTTTAGCATGAACCACACATTATTATTTATATTATATCGAAGAAATAGATGCAAAAAACTGCTTATATATATCAAACTCAAGTATTTATATATAATTATATTTTCAAATGTTATATATTTGAGTTGGATTTATGCAATGGCTGTAAAATTTCCATATTATCAACTTTAAATAACTCATGGTGAACTAAACATAGACATTTATAAGCTAAATTCTAGGCTTTCATGCACTAGTCTATTAAAATATGCATAGAATCAAAATATGCATGATATACATTAACCTAGTGAAATTCCACCTTAATAAATATTTATTAGATGTGCATGTTTATGTAAATAATTTAAGGTGCTGATAAAAACTTAACTATTTTAGACTGTAAATGATAAGTCATTTATATACTAATTTGCTCATATTTTGTACATACTTATATTTCAATTGTATTTGTATAAACTTGATTCATACATTTCTCATAACACATTCAATCGAAACAAGAATAAAATTGATTCTAGGGAATTGTATTCTATTTCAGCAGGTTGCAGTATTATAGCAGAAGTTGATTTATCTTGTAAACTGCAATATATTTTATTCAACATATCTTATACTCACATAGGACAAATATATTAATTGTTTTAAACATTTTTTATTTAATTCAGAATACTAATGACGATCATGAGCTTCCAATGGCTACTGATTTAACACAGTTGATACTTCCACAGCGAGCATGCTCTGACAACATGAAAACAAATCATGTAAGTATTAGATTTAAAATGCTTGTTTTAAATTTAATATTTTATTAGTTATTTATTTTAAACTGTAAATGAATTTTAAAGGTACTGCAGCACGAGGGCGACTGATTCTGAAGATACAGATTCTAGATATTCTTACAGCAATTCGAGCTCACCTCATCAGGTGAGATAATTTATTTTTATATGACATAATATATAATGAACCTGATAAAAAAATACAGAACATTTTTTTTTTGCAGAATGATAATGACATGATTCAAAATTCCAAACTCCAATAAAAAAAGGCAAAGAGGTAATTCCAAAAATGATTTACTTATATCAAACTTTGAGACTAAGAAACAATTTGTCTTTTTAGGATACTTCATTTGAAACAATAAGAAATTTCCTTTGGAATGCAGCGATGAAGCAAAATTAAAAGTGATTGCTTCAAAAGGAGACGTATATATAGCCGTGGCTATCCTGCATTGCTTCTATCTGGTGCACTCTTACCACCAAATGATACTGAAACATCGACAGCAGATTGCATCCATAACAAATTGAATATGGATTGATGCATACCGAAATTGTTGAACTTGTAATTACATCATGTGAGGTAACCATTAGACCAATGCATTAATAGGATTTAAAATGAGAAGCATTGTTAGGATGTAATAAAAATAAAAATCAAAGGATATACTTATCCTTTTAACATAAGTTTTTATAATAGGTGCTATATGTTTGACAATATAGATATAATTAAAACAAAATTAGATTATTCAAATGAATAAGTGAAATAATTATTCTAGGAATTTGTAAATAATATTAAAACAACAAAAGAACCTTCTTAGATTTAATAAAACGTTTGTAAATACTAATTAGATATTTTGCAATATAGTAATTAAATATTATTTTAATTTAATAAAGCATTTGTAAATATAAAATCGAATCAGTTAGATAGACTTTAAATTGTACATATTTATGGAGTGTAAATATCTTGCAATATAGTAATTAATTATTATTTTAACTTAATAAATATTTGTAAATAATATATGGAAATAATATATTCCTCAGTAACATATATAGATAAATATAGACATATAAAGTGCCTATTTGTATAATATATTAAATGAAA